TTATATTAGATTATATTATATTAGATTATATTTATATTTATATTACACCTTGATTAACTATTCTCTTGGATCATATTTGTATAGTCCACTCAATCCAATAATTTCACCTATTTCTCATAAACAGGTCGACCTTTAGTCTGTAAGGGTAACCACCAATTAAGGTAACACCATTAGTTCGACCTCGACCACCCCAGCATCTTCCAGTGAAGTCTTATATTTATATCATATCATATTATATTATATTATACTATGTTATATTATATTATATTCTATTATATTGTATTTATATTATATTATATTGTATTATATTATATTATATTGTATTTATATTATATCATATCATATTATATTATATTATATTATGTTATATTATATTATATTATATTGTATTTATATTATGTTATATTTATATTTATATTATATTATATTATATTTATATTTATTTTATATTATATTAGATTATATTTATATTTATATTATATTATATTATATTTATATTTATATTTATATTATATTATATTATGTTATATTGTATTTATATTATATTTTATTATATTATATTATATTATTTTATATTCATATTTATATTTATATTATATTATATTATATTTATATTTATATTATATTATATTATATTGTATTTATATTATATTTATATCATATCATATTATATTATATTATGTTATATTATGTTATATTATATTGTATTTATATATTATTATTTTATATTTATATTATATTATATTATATTTATATTTATATTATATTATATTATATTTTATATTATATTTATATTACATGATATTATATTATATTTATATTTATATTTATATTTATATTATATTTATATTATATTATATTATATTTATATTTATATTTATATTTATATTATATTATATTATATTATATTTATATTTATATTTATATTATATTATATTATATTATATTATATGCATAGGAATTTCATGGGATAGCGATGGTTATAACTCTAGTAATAAGTATAAAGGGGACCTTGAATTGTATATGATGTAATATGATGTATATAACATCATTTTTTGTTTTCTTTTAGCGGCAATCTTCTTTGGGCAAACCCACATTCAATTTGTTCGATGGGTAGATCTAGGTGTGATCATCTCCCTCCCTCGATCCCTCGAGATACACCCCTGCAAAGTATGACACAGCTTCCCCGCTTGCAAAAATGATGCCCTGGAAGATAGTTGTCCTATGTTGGAAGTGGCAATGATTTGGGATCTATGGTCAAATTATGTCAAATTTTCGGGGTTCAATGTGTCTAAACAGTCTAAACTATATTACTTAGTTAAACCATGGCTTCCTAGAGATTTTCCCTTCATCCCTTCATCCGATCCATAGAAACATGTGCTCCTTCCCCCCAAGAGCCTCACGTGATGTGCCTAAGGTGCTGCCCAGTTGATGAACGCCGACGTCTTGATGTTGGATGAGCCCACGGGTCACTTGGACGTGGACAACATCAAGTGGTTGGAGGATTGGTTGGAATCCTTCTCTGGATCCATCATTTGCACCAGTCACTTCAGCCCCTTCCTGGACAAGATGTGCACTCACATCATTGACTTCCAGGAGAGGCCATGGAAAACATGGGAAAAGCGAGGCCATGGGGACAGGTGATACCATCCGGGTAAAGGTGGCTGGCTGGAGAATCCACCATTGATAGATGATCTTCCCATTGAAGCTTTAGATTTTCAGGGGATTTCCCAAGTGGACGAGGACCGCAAGTTGAAGACCTTCAAGGGCGTGAAGGGCACCTGCCTCACGCAGTTCGTCGAGAAGTACCCGGAGAAGAAGGCGTGAATTTTTCAACGGGACCCGGAGATCACCATCCCAGGACCCCTGTTGATTGATGATTTTATATGATTTTATGGATGGGGGGTTAGGAAAATCATGGAACATCAAACCCATAATCTATATAGCCCTGCAGTTTTTTTTTTTTTTAATTTTGATACTTGGGGATGATCATGATCATTCATGATCCATATTGATCCATAAGCTGGAAATCCCCTTCTCAACCAATCTGAATCGAAGGCACTTGAGTTGAAGCAATGGGCTCCTGTCCAGATGAGCATTTCGGGGTTGTCTATGGCGGTCTCAACACTTCGAAACCTCCAAATCCCATGGGGAAAATGGTGCGAAAAATCCCATGGGGCTTCAATTTCAATGGGGAAAATGTTCCAATCTCCAAGAGATTTCTCTATCGAAATAGGATGAAATAGGGATATTCCCCAAAGCCTTACCTTCCATGGCTGGTCATCGGCATTTCGCTGGCCTGGCAAGGCCTACTTTGAGATCAGCAACGAGACCATGAAGTTCGTGTTCCCGGAGCCTGGACCTTTGGAGGGTGTGAAGAGCCGAAGTAAGGTGATTCTGCGCCGCTGGGCTGAAGGATGGGCTTCCGAAAGATTTTTTTCGTATTGTTATTGTGACCAAAATTACTATTATTCTATAATATTCTATATATTATTACTACTAAGGTTACAGAAAATCACTAAGATTATTTGAAAGTTCATGCCGGTTTTGAAAGCATTCTTTGTCTTGAAACTTCAAAGGGCAGGGAGTACCGCGGAATTCGAGTTGCGACGAGACAACCTCACTGCATTTTCTTGCGGTGTTCTCCAATCAAAGCATAGGTTCCAAGACCCCACCAAAACCCGGTTGTTACCTTAGATCTCCCCAACCCCAGAGCCCCAACCCCCGAGCCCCAAACGCCAACCAAGGCATGAACAACGTGAGCTTCACCTACCCCACCAAGGACAAGCCGACCATCATGGACGTCAGCCTCACCGTGTCGCAGGTGAGCCGTGTGGCGGTGATCGGCGCCAACGGTGCGGGGAAGTCCACCGCCATCAAGGCAGGGGCGAAGGGGGGCTGGGTGGATGGGTTACCATGAACGATCTGGGGAAATTAGAAGTTTTTTTTTCTTTAAACGTGTAACGTGTAACTACTTGTATATCATACTATATCATACTATATCTATTTTGGGCCATTTAAATCACTTGAGCCAATAGTGATCCACCTTGATCGCCATCTTAGGATTCTTAACATCTTCCCCAATGCTTCGATGATCTTCGATGCTTCCCCAGGTGTTGGTGGGAGAACAGCTGCCAACGGAAGGTTCCATTTGGAAGGCCCAGGGCTTGCGATTGGCATACGTGGCTCAACACGCTTTCCATCACTTGGAGAAGCACATGCAGGAGCCGCGCTGCCGGGGACAGGTCCGGTATAGCCATGGAAGACCACCATTTTTCATAGGTAAATCTACAGAAACGGGCCATTTGCTGGGTTGAGTCAATGGCGAATAAGCCTGGTTTATGATATTTATAAGTCCCTGTGTGTAGGGCTATCCAATTATCCAACGTACAATGAATTGGGTTGCAGCAACCTCACTTACGAACCAGTTATAGCATATAACTTATGGTATTAACCCCTTCCCTCAATATAAAACAGCCTCCAAACAACACCCTGGTTTAGAGCTGGATTCGTTCATTCTGAAAATCCCCTCATTAGGGGGACTTGTTTGATATGCTTGTGGGATGTGATATGATGTGATCATTAGAATAAAAACCAACAATAGATGGTTGATCATATGGGTATGGGTCAATACCTATAGATACATTTTTAGTGGGATGAACATCCATTTACCAGCTATTTTGGGGTTCACTAGGTACCAGGGTTTTGACCCATCCCCATATCTTATGAGAGGCTGTTGATGGTGAAGCACCGCTGATCCTAAGGAGACCCCGACGGCTTACATCATGTGGCGCTTCGCCGGCAACGATGACCGAGAGTCCCTCGAGTTCAAGACCGATGAGCTGTCCGTGGACGAAGAGAAGGTTGCGAAGCGAAAACAATGTGGATTTTGAAGCATCGATATTAACCATAGATATTAACCATAGATATTAACCATATATATTAACCATTGAAAAAGGTGATTGAACCATGAGAAATGATGATTTAGCCATGAAAACGGGTGATTTACGCACAAAAACATGCTGATTTCAGCAGCAAGGATGGTGACTTAGCGAAAATGCAACGGAAATGCATGGTGATGTAAGTAGTAAAAGCGAGGGTTTAAGCATGAAAAACAGGGGTTTGACCATCAATCATAATTAGTGAGTGATTTACACATTATTTCACCCTACTCGTATCATATTCCATCATATCCCAATCATAGCTGCTATATTAGTCATTGTTCCTTAAATTCCGACATTATTGTTGGTTAAATTCCGATTTATTATTGTAACATCAGCAAACAATTTTGCTAGTAGAGTATTGCATATGTTGATACGACACACAATAACATTTGCTATTATTATCATTAATACTATCATGTCTATTTTATTGTCAGTTCTTATTGTTGTGCTACAATTGTCATGATTACAATAAATATTGCTATCATTGGTATCATTTATGTCATTATAATATAATTACTTTTGCGGTTTTTATTAGCATAATTTTTCATTGTTCGTATCATAACTATTATCCTTGTTACTAGTACAATACTAATACCGTTATTACTGCTATCATTACTATAGCCACGCCACAAGTGCAATTGTCATTTATATCATCATTATTTTCTATCAATGAACCAACGTTCTTATAGTAATATATTATAATAAATGATTACTACCAAATTACCAATACTATTCTGATGTTCATTACTATGATCATTGTCATGGTTCTCACATTATAATACACCATTATCATAATTAATACTATGATCATACTATTAGCTATTACTATAACAGTCATTGTCATTGCTATCATTATCAGCATCATATATACAATGGCATGCTATAACAATGGCATTACTATTACTATAATCATGCTATAACTCTGATACCACTATACAATCATTACCATCCCATTTGCCATGGGACTCTCATTTGTTGTAGGCCCGTTCTCAGAAGTGGTGCATTGACAGCGTGACGGGCAACGTGCGTCGCTGCACCGACCCCAAGGTGTGATGCTCCACAGATGGCGTTGATTCGTTGATGGTGAGTTGGATTTATGGAATTTCAATGGATTGGTTTAAGGGACATCTTAACCGGAAACCATCGATTTTCCCATTAAATGTGGGGCTTTCCGGTTTCAATTTTCCTTTAAACCAATCCATTGAGAAATGGTAGTGAGATGTGAGATTTGAATGTGGATGACGGATGATTTTATAGTGGACGTATGTGGACTTTGGGCATACCATTTAGGGGATGCACATCCACCTGTACATGGTTCGTGGGGCATAATTTGAAAGAAATCACTAGATATCCGACATATCCTAAGTATGTTTGGTCTTATATCTAGTGAATCTAGCAGTTACTGACTAACAGATATCCTTGTTACGCGCAAGCGGTTATATCTAACAGGTCCTAATTAAAACATATCCCAGGCCAGTTACAATGGGCGTTTTCACATAGTCGTATCCAGAGTTACTAACAATTCCAGATGCTAACCATATGGTAACCGCCCCCAAAAAGGTAGAACACTGATCTATCACTGTTTCAGACGATTATTTCGGTATATATATATACAATATATGTATATTAATATATATATACGTATAATAATAATGATAATAATAATGATATAATAGAATATATATAATATGTGTATATATATGTTATATATATATATTATATTATATATACATGTTATTTATATCTATATATTTGCGGGTTACTTTACTTTAAACGTTTAAACATCGTCGTCATATGGATCTCCTCCAGGAAGATGCCAAGAAGGCCAAGCAGGATGAGGCCGGTGCAGTGATCCCGGATGCCATTGTGAACCGCCGTCAGAAGAAGAAGGTGGGCACGGGAGCAATCAATGGATATTGATGGTGATTGATGGTTAATAGTGGTTAATAGTGATTATTGATATAGTGGTTAATAGTGGTTAATAGTGGTTAATGATGGATTAATAGTGGTTAATGATGGATTAATAGTGGTTAATGATGGTTAATGATATGAAACGACTAGGGGTTATTGATGGATATTGATTGTTAATAGTGGTTAATAGTGGTTAATGATGGTCAATAGTGGTTTTTGTTGGTTAATGATGGTCAATGATGGATTGGTTTTGTTGGGAAAATCTGAGTCGGAAACCCATGGGCTTTTACTATGAAATGACTAGGGGTTATTGATGGTTAATAGTGGTTTTTAATATGGTTAGTAAGGTTTTCATAGTGGTTAATAGTGGTTGGTTAACCACTGAAGCTGGGAAGTTGATGAGTTGATGAGTTGGGGACAAATGATATGTTAGTTTGCGGCAATAGGATCCACCATCCAACAATATTTTGCCATCTCTGAACGGGTGGGATTCCAACCATCGATTTGGGTTTTTGTGGTTAAACAAACCTTGCTTTACAAGACAAAAAACATCATTTACATATGATCTCCCCATGAAATCCCATGAAACTAGCCATTAAATCCAGGATGTTTCCATTGAACTCCCAACCACAAGATTTCTGTTGGTGAGTTTTCCAGACTTTTCACATGAGCCATCGGGAGATTTCATGGGATCATTTCACCAGAAAATTGCCGGGACACCAGGAGAAGACCTTCGAGTACGAGGTCAAGTGGCAGTTCAAGAGCATGGACTCCAACACCTGGGTGGAGAAGGACCATGGCAGACCATGGCAGACCATGGCAGACCATGGCAGACCATGGCAGACCATGGCAGATGGAAACCAAACAGGGGCGGATGTTTGGCATCCAAAGCATGAAACAGTGATGGTGATAAAAAAAACCGCGGAAAATGGACGATTTGACCATCCGAAGAGGGCGATTTACTGTACGAAAAATGACTGAGGAATGGCGACTGAGTAGCAACAAAAAGGGGGAACAACGAACCAACAAAGATGGGGAAGGAACTGTTTTTTGGAGCCAAAAAAAGTCCCATCACGATCACGAAAAATTGGTGTCGCGTGGTCAAACTTCGTCGCCCTACAAAAATCTGGGATGGTTTCAGATCCAAAACATGTCCAGCCTGTTGTGGACCCAGTGGTTTCCCAATCATTTCTATCCCTTGGGACATGGCTTATACCCCAATCTATTGAATTACTGACTCATATTGTACCCTCATACTATGCCTCCAGAATGAAGACAAGCCCATGGTGATTTTTTAATTGACTTCCATGGCTTGGAGTACCAGAGGTGATATGCCGATCCCGGTCATATCCCATTACAATTTTCATGGCCATCACAATGAATGGCCCATGATATATCCCATGACACCACCATTCTTGATGCTTAAATCACCATTCCATCCCCATCATTTTTCCCATTTCCGTTCAACTACCATGGTTCACCGGTGTTCGCGGCAGGACACCTTGGTGAAGATGGGCTACCTGAAGCTGGTGCAGCGCGAGGATGAACGTCAGGCCGCGATGGCTGGTCTGATGACCAAGCAGCTGACGCAGCCAGGTGCGGCCTGGGCTTCGAACCCAAGGGGTTTGGGGGAGCATTTTTTTTGGAAACCATACATTTTAGGGGGGCCAAACATCTTGACATGTTTTTTTTTTTGGTATTGAATAGTTCTTAAATTGAACATCTTTGTTTGGGCCAAGAATTTTGATCCACATATTTCACCTTTTGGCAGCATCATGATCTTCATCCCTACCTTGAGACGTTAGAACATTGAAACTCCCATGATGCTCGACGGCAGGTGTTGAGAAGCACTTGGCGGATTTCGGTGTTGATGCTGAGAGTGCCAGCCACACGCAGATCAACCAGCTTTCCGGAGGAATGAAGGCTGGCTTTCCGGGCACATCGCATTTCTTGGGGCAGCTGAAAACCCAACCGTTGTTTCACGGCGTCCGAGAGCTCCTGAGTTTTACCAGCCATTTGGGTGTGTCAAAAAATAGGCTATGCCACCAAAATGAAGAATTAATAGGTTTTCCGATCATGTTCAGGTACACCGCTACCACACCCATATTTCTATAGCCAAAATCATGCCAAATCACAATTTTTGTCAATGGCCATTTCAGGAACCGATTCATTGGAGGTACCTACCATATATTTTTGGCCTATGTTTTAGGCCTAAATTTCAGGGGATATACCCCCAAAATACGGCCAGAAATACGGTACTAACGTACCTCCATAGGTTTTCAGTCGTTCCGGGTAGGTGAAGGTGGTCCTGGCTGCGGCCATGTGGCAGAACCCCCACGTGCTGATCTTGGATGAGCCCACCAACTACCTGGACCGCGAAGGCTTGGCTTGGCCTTCATGACAACAGCTGTGGAAATTGATGATGATTATCATCATCATCATCATCATCATAATCATTATATATATATATATATTATATTATGATTATCATTATCAACATCATCATCATTATCATTGTTATTGTTATCATTATCATCAGTATTATTGTCCTTATCTCTTGTCACCATCACCAGGTCTGGATTTTTGACGCCAGGTCTGGGAGCTTTGATCCTGGCCATCAAGGACTACAAGGCCACCGAGACGTTGGTTCGTTGGTTGAAACGGGGGATGGAAGGATTTGGGCCTCGTAGTCCTTAATGGCCAATAGGCCTATAGGTATCTCCATATAGTGGTTATATAATGGTTATTTGGGGACATAATTATAGTTATAGCACTATAGTAACTATATATGTTGGTTACTATAGTGCTATAACTATAATTAGAACCAATCTTCCATACTATCTATATTAACTATAGGTATAATTACCATGGTGGGAAATATGAGATGGTTTCCATAAATGGGGGTACCCCAATAGCTGGATGGTTTATTTCATGGAAAATCCCATCTATAAATGGATGATTTGGAGCTACCTCCATGGAGTGGAAACCTCCATTTCACCATGAACAATGGAAGAAAACAGATTTTGAGCATTTTTTCCATGTGTAAATCCTCATTTCTTGTGGTCAAATATGGGTTTGTGTCGAAGTATCAGGCCCAGTGATCCAAACGGATGGACGTGGGACACAGCAACTGATACAAGCTGAGAAATGCGAAAGAAGCGATCAATACGATATGAGATAAACTCAGACAGGGACTTCGCCAGCCATAAATCCCATTGATAGGTGATTTTCCCCAGCTATGAAGTATAAACCTCCATTTATGGTGTTTTTTTCCTCATATTTTCCGAATTGTTCCTATTATTTTCCCATTAACACCTTCATAAAATGGTGGATTTTGAAGCTCCATCCGCATTGTTCATGCCAGGGCGGTGTGCTCATTATCTCCCACAACAAGGAGCACAGGGGAATTCCCTAGGGCTCCAGGGGTGCTCCAAGGGGAGACGTTGGTAATACCCTAGGGTTATTGAACAGTTTGCGAACTGGACAAGCAACCTTTTTTTAAAGGTAAATATTGGTAAATCATCTATCAATGGGTGACTTTCTGCAGCTTTGTTAAATTGTGTTAAAGAACCAAAGGTGATACTTCTTTATATTGACCGAATTTACTACATGCCTGAGGTGTTGGGAGCAACCCTGAGAATCTTTGAGATCTATTTTGCAATCCCATCCCCCGATTAATTATGAATCATAAGCCCACGACTGGGACCCCAATTCGTTTGTTTTTTTTTTGGATATTGGAAGGGATGAATCACATCTGACATATATTTATAGTGGGATTGAACCCATACCAAATTTAAGTGTCGGCGATACCAAACTTGGACAGTTTTCCAAATTAAGTTCCTTTCTCCAACTACGGTATGTCCTCAATGATCTCCACGCATCTGACTGAAAAGCAGGTCTGATACCATTGATCTTTATCGTGATGGGAAAGAGAAGGCCATGATATGAACATATGGGGATTTCAGTCAACTTGGTGATATTATTTGTTTGATTTCGGGTAAGGGGAGGCAATCATCCATGAAAAATAATGCTATTAATATTCGGGCATGGGTCTGCAATTGGGAATAAGTATCCTGCACCTGCGGATAGGGATATACATTTGGATGCACAATGATACAAACGGCAACCAAGAACCTTCCGGGAATGATGGGAGTGAAGTTAAGACTAAAAAGCATAGCTAATCTTGGGAGTGACCAGTGACCAACACACATTGGTATATAATGGATTTACACCCATATCCTAATATCAAACTATCTATTACAAAATATGAATATCAGGATATGTATATATATATAACATACATGGACAAGCACCCCACTACATTTGAAGTCAGCATATGTACACATCATGTAAAATTCATCGTCTGATGCTTCAATCCCATACCGGCGATCTGGGTCTTTTGGGACCCGGGGGACCCCATAAAATGGCCACGATGATGATGGCCTAATTTGCTGGTGAAATCCGTATTTGCGATGGCGAGTCCCTACTAAATCCCGCTTGTTGATGGTTGATAGTTGTATTCCATAGTTGCATCCCATATATATATATAATTATATATATACATACATACATATATTTGTCTTATACCTCCTTTATTCCATGATTGATAGCTATATTCCCAATTTTCAATCCTCATTATATAATATCCCAGTACATCATCATTACATTCCAATATATCCTTATCAGACTTATCATTGCATCATCATTTGATGATTAGTGCGTATATTTGATGGTTCATTTCCTAATTAATATTACTTCTTGATTTCCTATTATTCATGGCTAACTTGCTATCCAAAAAAATAATTCCAAGATATCGCACAGTTATATCCCCACCAAAAAAATATATCCATATGTCATCATATGTCCATTCCCATGATAGTTTTCTAAAAACTCCCCGTTTTTCCATGGCCGATCTCCCCATTTTTATGGGCCATTCCCTTGGGAAAACGTGCGGAGTTTCGAGGAGTTCTGCGACAACGTGGCCACCGAGAAGTGGATTATGCAAGGCGGTCGCCTGCGTATCGAAGGCGAGTCCGTTGACACCTCCAAGGACGAGTATCGTGGGCACGGCGAAGGTCTAAGGGTATGGCAAAATTTATGGAGGAGAATCATAGAACATTCTTTTATACAGATTACATTACATTATATAATACATAATATGATATGTATATATATATATATATAAATGATAATATGATATTCTATGTAATATGATATATATAAATATAAATATAATGTTTATATTTATACTTAGCATTTCAATGATTCCAATGGCAATTTTTTGGGGTGGACTCTCCTTTTTGGACCCAAATCGGTCCAAGTCCAACATTTTTCGAGAAACTCCAGGTCCCCGAGCTCTGCGTTGCCAGGACGATGCCAGTGGTGCACAGGGACCCGATGAGGTCTTTGATGGCGCGGGAAATAAGATCGAGGTGAAGAAGAGCGTCACCATGACCGAGAAGGCGCCTGGGGCGGGGGGTGATTTTTTTGGGGCCTAGACCTGAGGGGACTTGATTTTTTTGGCTTGGAATGTGGGTAAATCAGAATATGAATTGGCCGATTGGGGGTACCAAATCATAGTGTGAATTTGGACAAAGCAGATCTGGAAGGGTTTTGAATCCTTCGGTCCCACATGGTCCCACGTTCCATCCCCGGGCATCAGTGGTTCTCCCACCTCGGGTATTTGATCGGTTAGGCGACCCTAAACTTGTGATGGTTCATGGTTCCTCGACTCAATATGGCGGTGAATCTTTGACACCATGAATTTCCGGAAGATGCTCTTTTGCATTGAACATGAGTGCGATTTGGGTCTACTTCCCAGACAAGTGCTAAGCAGTTGGGATGTGGGGGTTTCTTCTTTATGATTGGCTTACACCCACGGTAGCTTACGAGGTACAGTACCAACTGGAATGGGCCAAATAGCTGGTGTGCCGCATTGCCTCACAGGACAAGAAGAAGGCCATCAAGGACATTGAGAAGAAGATCAAGGACGCAGTGCTGACTTGTGGGTGTTACATGGTGGGTATGTTGGGGGGACCACTTGCCAGCTTCAGGGTGCATCCCCGTAGCCTCTGGGGTTGTCCAAAAATGGGTGGATGGACCCTCAAGCCATGGCATGTTGTTTTGGATCAGCCTCTGGAGCAAGGATGGCAAGAAGAAGCAGACCCTGACCGACGAAGAGGTCTGGGATTCTTGGCAGATGGAAAGATGTGGGATGGCTTAGAGTGAGGGGCAGGGCCATGCAGGGCCCATAACCCACAGGGCCCCACAGATATCATTTACTGTGACACATCGAAGGGTACCAGGCAGCAGTGAACCATGCCCCAAGTGCTTGCACAGTGACTTTGAGGGGGCCACCCATTCCTAGAATTTAAGACAAAATCTCCTTGAAATTGGATGATGTAGTGCCAAACAAGTTCAATATTTGTGGGTCCAGAAAGGTACCCTATTATTGACACCAAATCCTAAGGAATTGGAGGACAAACTCAACGAGCTCAAGGAAAGCCTGAAGGGCAAGGACCAACATTGGCACGTGGCCATGGGGTGGAAAAACGACATGTTCTCCCTACCAAGTAGATAGGTGAAGCGCAATTGTGGTTGTTTTTTTTCCCAGGACATCCAAGATAAAGCCATGTGTTGGGTGATTGATGTCTATGTAAACTACCGAGCAATGGGTGCAAATGGCAGCAAAGGTCCAAGAAGACAGCAAGGGGATGCCCTTCTGGGAAGAGTTGGTGATTCAGTAATGCACAGCACGATTGTGGTCAGATAAATTGGTAAGGAAGATGCCTGGAAACCAAGCAGTTTTTTTCTTCGGTTTTGTTTCTGTGACCTCTGTGACCTGATTTCTGCGACCGAAAAGAACTGGCCCCAGGAGTGAGTGGAGTTCTCTTTCCGCTTGAAGAAGCGAGGAAACATCGACATCTCACAACAGTGAGAGAAAAAAAAGGGCCAAGCCGGCGGCGCCGTGTCGAAAACCCATGGGTTAAAGGTGGAAATGGCTTTGATAAACAGCTTCAAATGGCATTTTCCAACATCGAAAATCTTCAAAACAACTCAACACCACTTGGCTTTGAACATTTCGGCGAAGCTCAAAAATCGATGGTGGTTTCAAAGATGTTTCAAGATGTTTCACGTGGTTTAACACAGAACACACCTCATTTTCCCATGTTTTTCCCATGGTTTTCCCATCTCCCCCAGGTGGCCCGGCGCGTGGCGGCGGAGCGCGGCGAGGCGCTGGGCGGCTCGGTGGGCTATGCGGTGCGCTTCGATGCGGTGCGGTGGCCCGGTGTCGCCCGGTGATCGCCCAAGGGCCCACGGGACGGTGATTTATATTACCTTCTGGTAAATGATTTAAATTACCCTGATGGTTAATGATGGTGTATGATGGTTAATGATTGTTAATTAATGATGGTTAATGATGGTTATATAATTAATGATGGTTAATAACCACTGGTTGGTGGTTTGGAACATGGCTGACATATTTTCCCCAATAGTTGGGATGATGATCCAATCTGACGAACTCATATTTTTCAGAGGGGTAGGTCAACCACCAATCAGACTTGTTGACCCTGAAAATAAGCAATTTTTAGTGGAAACCAGTCTTCCAAGCCCGATGACTGCCAGGGTCTATGTGAATTTACCGGAGGGTATATTATAGATCACCATCATTCACCATCCCTTTTATATTTTATATGACAATATATGACATATATTATAGATATTTAATACTCATGTTGATTTCTAAAGGCCAAATACGGCCAAATTGTAACAGGATTGTAGCTATTTATAGATATAAGATGATATAAATGGTGGAAATTGATAGATTCTATAGAAATGTTATAGTTAAAGATATTATAGATATATTTAGTACTAATTATAGATGTAACATGATATAAGTATCCATATAAATGATGGAAGCTGATGGGCCAGATTCTATGATACATCTAGATTTTAATATACTGTACATCTTCCAAGATTTGTTTTTTTTGGGTGAGAATCTAATTATTACTAATTATAGATAATAAACTGATATAACATGATATGAATTATTGAAGTTGATTGGTTTCAATATGGTGAAAAATCACTTAGAACATCGGATTCCAGTGGATTTTTCAGCAGGAAGGCAGGGGTCATGGTGCAAGGTTGTGGCCAATTTTTGCCACCAGCTGGTACAATCAGCAGACAACAAACGTGTCCTCTATCGAGTGATGGTTATGTCAGAGGGTTAGAACGTTTACTGGTTTGGAAATGTTTGGAACATGACATTTATTTTCCATAATATATGGGAGAATCCTGACAAAATTGACGAACTCATATTTTTCAAGATGGTTAAAACCACCAACCAGATTATGTCAAGAAAGATTGGGGCTTGCGATGATTTAGGCTGGAACTCATGAAACATCTTTAGAGAATACTGTACCCAAACGAACGAAGAGAATAGACACGTATGGAAACTATAACGATTGAGAAACAGGACAGTTTGACTGGTTTTCACTTTTGGCTATACGGGGTACATTTTGTTGGATTGGGCCACAATTCTCCACCACTCTGCTCCATATGCAGTCCTAGGTCCTAGATTTCCTCCTCGTAAACCTCCGCAAGCACCTGCACAACCACCAAGCCCCCCAAGCATAGACATCGATGCAGTCACCAAGCGGGGCACGGCCATGTGCATGGTTTCACTGGCGCCAAATACATCGCAATTTGATATCTACTCTCATGGCCAGATTTGTAGCCATGCATCAGATTTTTTGCAAGTTTTTTTTTTCAGTTCTGATGGAGCAAAATGGCCAGATTTGATGGATCATCCGCCTGTACTCCGACCCTACGATCATAAAATTGCTGGGCTGTTCTGGGTTGTTCAATTAGCGGGTGTTCCACCCAGGCCTCTCACTTTTTGAGGATTACCCCCAGGCAATCAACAGATAGTCTCTTTTTTTGTACTGCACTGGAGCTCTTCATCTATCATTTCGGGGTGATGGGGGACTGGTCTTTAATATTATGTTGCAGAATTTCAAAATTGTGAATCATTCAGGTCCATTTATATCATTTCATATCCCAAGTTCAGAATTTCAGGATTGTTTTTCAGCCATGATAGACATCCCAAGTTTTCATTTTGTGTTTTACTAATCGATTCATCCCAAGTCCCAGCCATTCCACGGTTGCTGCCGTCTTGGCTCAACGGGCTTCGATGAGATTTCCAGAGGCGTGTGGCCTCAACGCAGCGCCGCAGCGCCCATGGTCCAACACCTGAGTGCCCGTTGCAGCCAGCTGCCGGGTGATTCCTATGACACCGTGGCGGAGACCGATGAGGACTGGCTACACAAAGGTGGGAAAAGTTTGTAGTCGAATGCTGGAAAAACCGTGGCACCATTTTGGGGAGAGATGTAGACATATTATGCATTTTTGACATGATATGATATGAAATTGGATTATATATGATTATATATGTATGGTATCAGGTATCAGATTATATTGTATTGTATTATATTATGCATTACGTTGTACATTACGTTGTATTGTATTACATAATGTTGTATTTCATTTTTATGGTCATTGTCAGTTATTGTCTTATTGTATTGTAATATAGAGAGGATATGAATGATTGTACACACATTCAGTACGTGCAGCAAACCTTGCGCAGGAGGGGGGCTTAAGCCACCGCTGGCGTCATCCGGCCCCTCCTTCCGATCGCCAGCGGATGGCCGGCAGCTTGCGACGGATTGCCATGGTGGGCACTGCCCTGGTGCTGGGAGTCGCTGCGGTCTATGCACTGCGGCAGACAGCATCTTGGTGGATTTTTGCGGAACAACCGCAGGAGTGATGCGCTAGTTTTGCCCCCCTTGTTTTTTTTGGCCGTGTGGTAAAGGCGAACACATCTTGAGACATCTTAGTCTTAGAATCTTGAGACAATGCATGAGTTGCTCCAGTACCAAGGTTGACCCAGACAGCCTTGGGGTTAAATGGTTCAGTTGAATGGTGAATCTGGAGATGAATCTTGACACAATGCCACCACTCATTTTGGTATAAATCAGTCGGTGATAGCTTTAAAAATTCTGTATCCTATCGATAAACTGGTAGATAAACCCAGCCTGTGGGAGTTAAAGCGCCGTTATTATTGTTATGGTTATTATTGTTATGGTTATTATTATCATTGTTATGTATAATTTATTATATTTCTTTTGTACTATTTTTCCTTATTACTACTAGTCTTACTATTATGATGTTTATTCGTTATTTTCATTTTCTTAAGGTTATCTACAAGCTCACTGGGGTTATAAATCCGATAGGACTGGGAGCAGGGCAATCATTTTTCATAGGTTCCAAGACGTTCCAGAGGATAACCCTGATGAAATTCCATTCCCTTTTTCCATTACAGTAAACAAACACATTCTCCAATGATGGTTTGCCATTAAAAAAAGCGTCTAGTAGAACCTAATTATTTTTTTTGCAATTTTCATGGAAATACATACGAGTTCCTTTGGTGGGAATACAACTTCACCTAAGCAGCAAACAACTGGGTATCCCCATTCTATCGACATTGCATCACCACGATTTTTGATGGTTAACTCTCCATTTTTGTTGGAGAACTCACCATTTTTGATAGATAAATCACCAGTTTTGATAGATAAATCACCACGTTTGGATGGCTAAATTACATTTTGATGGTCGAGTCAAATCCTTTTTCAAGGTGAAGTTGCATACAATGTTTGATGGTAAAATCACCATTTTTGATGGTCGACTCTCAATTTTTGTTGGTTAACTCCCCATTTGGATTGATAAATCCCAATTTTCGATGGTCAACTCCAAATTTTTCATGGTTAAATCCCAATTTTTGATAGATCATGATAGATCAATCCCCTATGTTCCTCTCTCCTCTGAATTCCACATATGTTTCAACTCCTCATTAACACTTAGAACTATTTTTTTCCCATTCCGTAGGGCTTTTCAGAGCCGGCCAAAGATCTCTCCCCCCTGCGTCAATTCACACACCCCTTTTACCAACATGTCACATCATGTCACTATTGTTGAACTAAAACAATCTTCAAGTTCAACAATAGTCCTACAATAATCCTACAATAGTCCTACAATAGTCCTACAATAGCAACAATGTATCTTATTCTGGTATTATATCACTCGTTCTATGCATCCGCCGGGCCGAGGCCCGGAGCGGCCTGGGTGAGTCGCTGCTCTCGGCGCAGCAGCTGATGGGCATCAAGGCACCCCAGTGCCTGAGGGATGAGGAGGAGTTCGCGGGCCTTTGTCACCTGGAACCTGAGGAAGATCATTGGGACAATTCTGGATCTACAAGGTGATGCCCCATAGTTAGATAAGTTGGTTTATAACTCCCATAACTATGGTTTATGGCAGATATAACTATACTCAATGGGGTTTATAAACCAACTTATAACTGGGGGGCACCACATTGTAGGATTTTTTTTTAGAAATCTTGATAGTAAAGAGCTAGAATGAATAGAACCGCTATATATTTTAATCCGAAGTTCGGGGTACTGTAGTTCACATGGTATAGCTATGGGTAGGTAAACCTTCACGAAAGCGTCAATTCGTATGTAGTCAACAAAACGCGGAATATCTGAGTTTAACATGAATTAACAGCAAAAAAGCAACGATACATGGAGAGAGTGCCATTGCCCAAGAAGTAGGGAATTTCCGTGCTCAAAGACGAGGATTTCACCAGCAATAGGGGCCGGTCTTCCAAGCGTATCCATCTTCGAAACAACCGTTGTTGGCTCCACCTGGAACCAACAAGCGA